GTTCAGGGGAGGCGGCATGCGTGGGGGCTGGGCCCTGGGCTGCGACCTCAGCGTTCCCAGTGGCGCCTTTTCCTGACATACCGGAGCACCGCACCCTGCTCTGTCCTTCCAGTGGATATGTGCTGAATCATGGACGCACAGTGTCCTTGTCAGCTCCGTCCATGTTTAGGGAGACACTGCAAGATGCCGGAGTGAGCCGGGCGTTTTGTCGTGTGGGGGAGGAGGATGGAGGACCTCGCCTGTGCACAGGAGCTGCCTGGGGTCCTGGGTGGTGTGGGCGCACACGAAATGCAGGTCCCCGTGTGGAGGACACGGGACCATGCAGACGGGGTTAGAGGAGTGAGCAGTGTGGAGGGCGCAGGCGTAGGGTGTGACGTGTACGTACTTTTGTATACCCTGAAATGTCCCAAAAGAGAATAAATGTTTTCTTTGCAAACGAATCCATGGAGCAGAATTCCAGTGGGTGGTGTGGTTTCCCAGCATGGAGCTGGCACTTCCTAAGTGTCTGTTAGATGCTCAGGCGCCATGTGCTTTGTGGCGACTCATGCATTAAAGATGAGGTATGGCGCTCGCTTCAGCAGCACGTAGGCTAAACGATGGAGGTGTGTTTTCTGCCCTCAGGAGCTTCCAGGCATAGGAATCGGTGGTGGTCCCGGTCAGACCACATTGTCAGCTCTCGGGTATTCACTGTGAGGCCCAGCTCTGAAGTTAAACAGCGTATCACTGTCAGCGTGCTTCCTTCAACTGCAGTGCTCGCTAGCGAGGTCTGAAATAATTAGTTATCATCTGCTTCTCAGTAGAGTGGCTTTGAAAGAGGACACCTGATATAGTTTTTAGATGAAGTTATAACTGTTCACTTTAGAGCCGCCTAAAGATTGATAAAGATGCATTTGGAAAGCGTTATTTTTTTATTGATTCTTAATGTAGTAAATTACTGAAGTGACTGGGCAGCGAACAGAAATGGCCTGTGGTGTGGGCGGCATTTGTGCTCCTGAGAGCCCACAACTCGCAGTAATTGCACGGCCACTGCGCTCACTTCCATTAAAGGGCTTCTACTCTAATTAATCCTTTTTATTTCACATCATGTTGGCACAATTTCTGGCTATAAACACTCATAAAAGACAGACAGTTGAAAAATCTGTTACAGGTTTTTGCCATATACCTATGGCTACTTTTCGTGACAAGTTATTGAGACGCTTCTAGGAATGAGTGGTGCAGCTGGCTGCAAATTAAGGCTAGTGTGAAAAACGCTAAGTGGATTATTTTGCATAAAAAATAGGCAGTTTTTGAAGTTGTATAATTAACCTGTGTTTAGAAAATACCTTGATTTATGCTTACATTTGTATCTCGGTTGCATACATTATGGAAATTTAATTTATAATCCATTTAGCTGATGCAGCCATAGTTTTTAGTGCCATCATTTATTAGTGCTTGTATATTAAACGCTCTGAAGGTTTAAAGCTGCCTTACTTAAAAAATTATACCTATGCATTTGCATTTTATGAGTCACAGTGGGATTTCTGTTTAAAATTCAGGTAGCTGTGATCTATTTAACGAATCTCACTGTTTTATTGTTACTAATGCAGAAATGGCAAACAATGACCTTCCATATTGAACATCAAGTGATTTACACCCCAGTTTACTTTAAAGTCCACTGTACAAATGAGGCTTTTCCTCAACACCTGGAATCAATCTTGCCGTCTCTGCAGCGCGTTCTCCTGGGCTCTGAAGCCATCATTTATTCAGGAGTAATGGGCCTGATAAGTGCCCGGGTAGCAGTGCTGGCCATTCCCAACTCCACGCAAACCGGCCTTCCAAAACAGCTTTCTTTACGTCACCGGGAGGTAACTTAAGTGCTGGTCCCATTTTATTATTCAATCTCTCGTTAAGAAGTCCTTTTTGCTATCTTTTCAGAATCATTTGGGAAATCGTTAGTCTCCAGATCAGAAATAAAAGCACAGGGACATACGCCTTGGCTCCCTGCATTCTCGGGGGTACTGTGGAGAGCACGGTGGACTGCTGTCACCTGAGCGCCTCCGCCACGGTCGCCTTCCTGGTTTCCTCCAGTCGTATTAGTGGGTGAAACTTTGCAGTGTAGGTCTGAAGGGGTGTCTGAGCGTTCTCTGGTTTGGGGAGGAAAGGGAAAGACTCCCAAATGTGTAAATTTGGTATTTGTTTAAGGATTGTGATTTTATGGGGAACAGTTGGTTAAATACTGTAAGCGTGCTAGAAGCTATGACGAAGGAAAGGGTTTGCTGAACCAAGGTGAGCAGTGGTGCCGGCTGAACATGCCGCCTTTGCCGGAAGGTGAGAGGAGCCGCGTTCCGGCTGCTGTGTTAGTTGATTCCTACGCACCTGTCTCATGGGACACTCGTTCCACGTGGTGTGGGCAGATGTGGTCGGGTGAGCAGCCTCCTGGGAGTGATGCTGAAGTAGTTAGAGCTTCGTGGCTGGATGATGGCCCCTTAGGTAAATTTGGTTTTGGTTGGGTCTTCCATGTGTAGGAATGGCGCCTGGGTCTTACGTCAGTGGCGTAGAGAAGCCTGAATGTATCACGCCGCACCTCACACGGCAGAGCTCGTTGCAGTAGTTCGTCCATCCCTCACCCCCTGTCTCTCTCAAGCCGGGTCACAGGCTGCCCCCAGACAGAAACATGTGCCTCCAGCCATCCGTTTACCACGTGTGTGTGTGTGTGTGGGGGGGGGTGACACCACTTCTCCTCGCATCTGGGAAGGTGGGGAGCATCGCAGAGGATCCTGGTAAATACAGGTCTCAATAAAAGGCCTTTGTGGAGGAAACCCAGGTTGCCCCTGACTCCCTGATAAGAGTCACGCAAACCTCACCGTCGGGAGGTTTTGCACGTGGGCCAGGTGGAGGTGAGGGAGCCAGTGCCCAGGGCATAGCACGACGCCCAGCACCGAGCAAGCAAAGCAAGCACTCGGTATGGGAACTGATTTTCAGGGGCACATTTCTGACAGGGAACGTTGGTTCTGACACCCAGGTCAGCCCTATTAGAATAAAATCAGAATCCGTCTGGAAGGTCTGCAGTGTGTGCTGACCCGGTGCCTCTTATAGCCTCAGGCACAGGGCGATGCTGGGAGCTTCCAGACTTGCCTCCCCCTCCTCACGCTAGAGCATCTCTGCAGTCGGTACAGTAATACCCAGCTACACCGGTGTACCCCACCCAGGACCACTGGGCAGCAGGGAGACGCAAATCAGAACCACAGTGACACCCTGTTGCACCAACCAAAACTCTAAAACGAAAAAGGCTGTGCGTGCTAATCATTGGGGAGCTGCATTGTGGGTCTTGGTGGCAAAATCACTGAATTTTGGAAAACAGCCGGGTGACCCGGTACTTCCACAGTCAACAGATCTTAAGTGTCACTAACGAGAAACGAGAGCAGAGATCCACAGAACGGCGAGCACATGACGTCATAGCAGCTGTAGTTACCTTAGCCCCAAGCTGAAAACAACCCATGTGTCCATTACCAGGTGAATACGTAAAGGTATTTATTACACAGCGGTAAAGTAAGAACAAACAGTAACCTAGATGAATCTCAAAGACATTATGTTGTGAGAAGACATACAAAAGAAGACATACTGTAGAATCCCGTTTATGAAGGGCTAGAACTGGCAAAACGTCCGATAGTGGTAACAGTGGGGGTTGGTGGGGGTGTTGCCTGAAGGGGCTGAGGGAACTCCTGAGTTTGTGGAGGGTCTAAATGTTCTTATCTTGATCTGACAGGTCATTACACATTTATAAAGTACAATAATTCAAGCTGTGCTTGTAAGTTGTACACTTTCTCTTACTATATGTAAATTATACTTTACATGCAAAGGTCATTAGACATGAAGGAGGCAGTAACTTGGGGTGACGACATTGGTCTGGGCCTCAGGAATCTGGGTTTTGGTATCAGTCTTGCCACCTCCTAACTCATAATATCTGGGCAAGTCTCTGAGTTTGCACGCCCGGCTTCATTTTAGAATGGGGTCTGGCGGACCTCAGCCTGGGGGCCAGACCCAGCCTCGGGGCCAGACCCAGCCTGCCACCTGTTTTTGTGTGGGCAGTATGCTAAGAATGCTTTTTGCATTGGCTGGTGGAAAAAACAAATCTTAAAGAACAGTAATATTTCTTAAGTTGGAAATTACATGAAATGCCACTTGTTGCTCAGCTGCCCTCACACGCCACACACTGCACTCCCTTTGTGCAGCCAAAGCAGAGTGGGGTGACCGAAGCCGTATGGCTTGCTGTCGTGGGCTGAAAGATGCTCGAGCCCTAACACCCCGTGCCTGTGAACGTGACCTTGTTTGGAAATAAGAGTCTACAGGTGTCGCCACGCGCAGATGGGTTAGAATAGGTCCCCACATCCAGTCACTGGCGTCCTTATGAGAGAGGAGAGGGCGATGCAGACACGAGGGCAAGACAGCCATGCAGGGGCCGACGGGAGGGATGTGGCTGCCAGTCCAGCTCCACCGAGGATGCCGGCAACACCAGAGGCTGGACAGGCGAGGAGGGACCCTCCCCCTGAGCCTTCAGAGAGCTCGGCCCTGAGACACCTGATTTCGGACTTCCAGCCTCCAGACCTGGGAGACAGACCCCATTTACTGCTTTGTGCCGTTCAGTCTGTGCTGCTTCGTCTCAGCAGCCTGGGAAACGGATGCACCTGCAGAGCCCTTTGCAGAAAATGCTTACCAACCTCTCTACGCGGAGGGTGCAGCTCCGTAACATCCCCACCGGTGTCAACAGTCTGTAATTTCAGCCCTGAAGCTCTTCGGTCGTCTGTTCTAGAGTTTTCAACATGCTGAATGCATGAACTGAATACTTAACTTTGGCACATGGTAAATGCTCACCAAGTGCTAGCGCCCACCATACTCTCCGTTTTATGGAGAGAGAGCGTCCACTGTCGTAGGGCTGCTAGGTTTCGGTTTGCACAGACATTTCCTATCAGGAAGCATGACGATCCTGTGAGGCGCTGACCCCGGTCCCTCTCTCCTTTCAGGCCCTCTATGAGAACATGCTGGTGGAGCTGCCCTTTGCTGGCTTCTTCCTGTCCAAGCTGCTGGGGACCAGCGCCGATGTGGACATCCATCACCTCGCTTCCTTAGATCCCGAAGTGTACAAGAATTTGCTGTTTCTCAAGAGCTACGAAGGTGACGTGGAGGAGCTGGGCCTGAACTTCACCGTGGTGAACAACGAGCTTGGGGAGGCACAGGTGAGCCGATAGCCAGCTTCCTTCCACTTCGTGGGGGCGGCTCACACACCTGTGTTTCCTTTTGTTAGAATCATCTGCTTCATATTGTTTGAGCTTTTGCACATTTTACTTAGAAGAGTCACAGTGGCTGACGGTCAGAGGTGGGGAGTTGTAGGAGTCTGGAACACTTAGCCCACCTCAGGTGCACAGCCTGGCACGCACAGCTCCGCCCCCTCAGCAATGGGCTCTGCCCTGTCGTGATAGGCTCCGCCCCCTCTGCTGTGGGCTCCTCCCTTGGCGATGGGTGGTTCTGCAGCCAACCTGGCCTGGGAAACGCCAGTTAGTAAAGCCTTGTTCTGTCTCGCTCATGGTTCCAGTTCCGATAGCAGCCCTGGGTAGTTATGCTCCCTGGGTGCTCGCCCACTCACTGCACCTCACGGCTGTAATGCTGGTTGCTGGGATATTTTTTCTGATCTTCATTATACGTCTAGTTGCTCTTAATATTTTTATCCTTTATTTTTAAAAAGCATATATTAGAGACTCAAACTAATTTTTTAAATAACAGCTTTCTTGAGCTACAGTTCATGCACCAGATAACCAGTGCAGTTTAGTACGTCCACGGAGCCGTGCCCCCATCACTGACACCTGTGTTTAGGACATCTTGTCGCCTCAGAGAGACTGTGCCCCTTGGCAGGTCCCTCCCACCCCCAGTCTAGGCAAGACTGCCGGCTTTCTGTCTGAACGGTTTCCGTCCTGGGATCCTCACAGTGTGTGGCCTTGGTGACTGGCTTCTTTCTCTTACTGTGGCTGGGTCGGTGCTTCATTTCCTTTTCTGGCCAAATGATGGCGTCGTGTGGATGTGCCACGTTTTATCCGCTGATGGATGTTTGGGGCTCCTCTGAATAACACTGCTGTGAACATTGATGTACAACACACACACACGGCTTACGGTGGGTTGACAACACCTGGCATTTGCTGAGTAGATTTTATGTGAGTCTGGGGTGGGGCGGGGTAGGGTCAGGCAGGACGTTGTTATACCAACTCCCCATCCCCCTCCGCAGCCCCGGCACCTACCACTCTACCTTCTGTCACCATGAACCTGACGACTCTAGGCCCTCACATGAGTGGACTCATACACTCATATGTCCTTTTGTGGCTGGTTCATTTCACTGAGCATGAAGTTCTCAGGGTCCATCCACGTTGTAGCCTGTGTCAGAATTTATTCCTTTTCCAGACTGAGTAATATTCCATTGCATGTATGTGTCACATTGGTTTATTCATTCGTCTGTCAGTGCACAGCAGAGTTGTTTCAGCTCATGAATAATGCCACGAAGTGGAACTGTTGGCTCGTGTGGCAGTTCTGTTCATCTGAGGGCCGCCCACTGTTTTCCTGGTGGCTGCGCCATTGTACACGCCCACCAGCTCAACAGTGCACGACAGGCGCTTTTTCCACATCCTCCCAACACTCGCTGTCTGTTTTCTCCTCTCTCCGTTCCCCCCGCTCCCCCCGCAGTGCTGTGCTGTGATGCTGAGAGCTCTTCAGGAAAACGAAGAGATGGAGCTTGCTTTCCTGATGCGCTCCCCAGCCTGCAGGACTGTTCCATGGTTTCTACATGGCAGCGATGTCTTCAAAACTAAAATAAAAGGCACACACAGCTTATAGAGCCTAGTGTCTAAACTCTCTGGATACTTTTTTAATGATCATCTTTGTGATACTGACTTTTCTGTCTGTTTCTTAGCCTTTGAAGCTCCCTATTTCAGAAGTAGATTTAAATGGATGAAATCCCAAATAGGAATAAGGGAAATGATACTGAGTCAGGCTTCCAACTCTCCCAGCACTTGGTCATATCTAGGCACTTTTGAGAACAGATATCGATGCTGTAAGATAAAAAGTAAGACTAAGGAACCCAGAACTCTGTTTTATTTAGTTGCAGCTTCTGTGGTCGCTTTTATTTCAGCTTTTTCTTCCATACCATAGAGCTGAAGCTTCAAGTGCAAAGTTAGCTGTTCTTTGAGAGATGAGGTTTGTTCTGAAGGAAATTTCGGGCATTCACAGCTGTGCTACTGCCTCACTACATCTGGCGGTGTGATTTCAGAACGGAATGGAGGCCTGGAACGGTCAGGTCATAAAGACCTGTGCAGGCTTTGCTAATGGGGCATTGCCCACTTTTCCTTCTAAAATAAATGGTGATAGTGAGATGTCGCCTGGGCACCGGTTCCATTAGAGCGCCACTGATAATACTGGAATCGGTTAAAAGGAAAAGTGCAGGGAAGGTGTTCCAATGGGTCAGAGGAACGCCCTGAGGAAAGAGGTTACAGATGATAATGCGCACAAATAATTATACCAAAGAGTCCGGTTGGGAAATTTAAGAAAGTCACTGGTAAAGCAACTAATTTGGGGGGAGAGCTTACAGATTTCTGTAGAAATGGAAGTAGAACCGTGGTCCTCTGTACAACTTTAAGTTTATAAAATACCATGACTTAAAGGTCTGTAATATGCAAATACTTCATTATGTTGGTGGGTTATGTTCATTAATCTTCCCTTTTAAAATAATGGTTTTGCTCTCAAATTTGTTTCTTCAGGGTGATCAATATGGCTGTTTGTTAGCCTGCTTAAAAAAAGAACATGAAATTTTAGACTACTAATTTATATCCACATCTCCCTTGAGGAAATGCTCAGGGTTTAAGATGGACCCATAAATAACCATCTGTTATGTAGAAAAGCATTGAACTTGAGTCATTAGACTTTGCTTAAAGTCCTGCTGTTGCTGCTTTGCTGTGTGACCTTGGGCCAGTCAAAGACGACTTCCTCATCTTCAGAAGGGATGGAAGTTGCTGGGAGGATAGATGCCGTCTGTGCAGATGGGAGGAAGGCCGGTGTGTGAAGGGCAGCCCAAGGGGAGGCCTATGTCTTCTGTTGTTTCATAATCTGTGGACTTTCCCAAGTGGCTGGGAGCATCGCTCTTGCTCTAGTACCTGTTTAAAGGTGTAAATATGCCCTGAAAACCGACCTCCTGGGACAGTGTGACATGATTTTAACCCTATGTATGTAGTTTAGGAGTTGAAACAACCGCAGTGTAACCGCCCTAATAGCACTGGAAGTGTCGGTGCTGTCTAATTAGGCAGGTGGGGTTTTGAGAGTCCTTTGACTGATGGCTTCCTGGGCCCCTGGTCTCCCACACCACACAGTACATCATCATTTATTACTTGCATTAATCCACGTAAGGGACAGGGCACTGTGTTATACATGGAAACAGCACCAGCCAGGCCAGGGAACAGACTGCCTGTCAGTGGAGAGCCACATGGCCCCTCCAGACGGGACGGGGTTCGGAGCCCTTTCTGAGACAGTGAGAATGTGAATTAGAGCGAGATGTCATCTGGAAAGTGTAGAATTGAAAGAAGCAGTGTGGTAAAGGCAAATGACTTTCATAACGTGAGGTGGCCATGTAGCCATCAGACTTAGCGTGACTTAAGGGAAGTTCACGAGCAGATTTTAGGATAGCCTTTTTGTAAAATGGGGAAAATGGGGGAAGCTGCTGCCCAGTGGGGCTGGTGTGGTCTGTTATTCTCAGAATGTAACAGCTGCCAGAACAAGTGAGGGCTCCGAAGAAAATCACATGGGGGCTATTAATAGTCTTCCGGTCATCCACAACCTGAGAGCCCCAAAATGTTTGCCGCCTGCGTGGTAGGCACATGAAGTCTGCCCCAGGATGTCACTCGGTTTCCATGAGCAGCAGTCCCTACTAACTTAGTCACCCTGGAAAGTCTGTGCTCACTTAGTTTGTGTTAATTTCATATGTCTTTACCCTGGGCCTAGATTGCTTCATTCAAATGCATCATGAGTGCCTCTCTCTACTTAAGTACTAGGAAACAGGAGTTTAAAAAGCACACTCCTGTATGTTAGCTTAGATGCTTAGAGTTGTCTGTGGCGTTTTGTCAGTCAGCTTGTTTATGGAAGCTTACCTAGTCACAAGTCCAGGTAAGCAAAGCAGATGTCACTGGTTTACTACTGACAAAAGAGGCTGGGGACATAACGTGTGTGTGGCCACACGTCAGAGAGGAGCGGGAACCAGAGTCGTGCCTCTGGGACTGCAGTGCTTGCCCTCGGATACACTGGCCTTGTCCGCAGGGCTGGTTCTAACCCAGCCCGGGCCCTGCAGGGTCTGAGTGTGGTCATATAATGACTGGATACACAGGCGTGGACTGGCCAGTCACCGCTGATGATCCCCACTGCCCTGTCAGTCACAGTAAAGTAGTTTGCAGTAGTGGCACTGTCACGGAAACACAAAGAGCCTTGGGCACTGCTGTGCATGCAAATGTGAGTGTTGGTTTTCCTTCAGCCATAATCCCTTAAGCTGCGTTTTCTCCCATATGACTCCCTCTGACGCATGCTGACCGTTTCGTCCACATCTCCGCCCACTGTGATTCCTGGTTTTCTTTCATGGAAGCGCCATGATTTCATGTGGTGGCGTCATTGCGTAGTACTTCGGAGAAAGCAGAGGTGGCCACTGCTCTTCCAGGCAGAGGGAGATGCCGAGCCGTGGCCCATTCGGGCACATTCAAGTGTGCAGGGCCACGTGTGTGCTGCGCGTGCTGTCCACGCAGGGGCTTGTCTCACAACAGCACCAGTTCCTTCTCGCTTCTGTTTACCCTGCAGTCATACTTGGAGAACCTGAAGACCCGCCTTTTCATATTCACAGGTGGTGGAACTGAAGTTCGGTGGGAAGGACATCCCTGTCACCAGCGCCAACCGCATCGCATACATCCACTTGGTGGCGGACTACAGGCTGAACCGGCAGATCCGGCAGCACTGCCTGGCCTTCCGGCAGGGCCTGGCCAACGTGGTCAGCCTGGAGTGGCTGCGGATGTTCGACCAGCAGGAGATCCAGGTTGGCTGTCTGCCCGCCCCACCCGAGAGTCTTGCTGTAGCTCTGCCTCCACTCTCATGGACTGAACTTCTCTTTCAGGTGTTAATTTCTGGTGCACAAGTTCCCATAAGTCTGGAGGACCTGAAATCCTTTACAAACTACTCAGGTATGTTATCACTACCAGTTAGTTATTCCCGAAGCTGGTATCGATGGGCCTGTTTCCACAGTAATTGTTCATAGACGTTCTTGTATAGGTAACACATTTTTAACCATGTGGGTTTGAAACCCAGACTGCATAACGAGGTCCACAGTGAATGTCCTCCTGTCCTGATGTCCATCTGATCCGCCCCTCCCCACCTTCCGCTTTTCTCCCCTCCCTAACCCCCCCCTTTCCTACTCCTCCCCACCCCTTCTTTATTATCTGAGTGTTATACACTGTGGATAATTTACTTTTTAAAACCAAAAAAAACTTTAAATTTATTTCAGGTTTATAAAATGATAGTGGTCATTTACAATTAATGAAATTACAGGTGATTTTTCTTCATTGTACTTTTCTCTTTGTTCTAAATATTTTGAAGTGCATATTTTTTTAAGGATAACTTGAAGTCATAAAAGCATAATCTGTGTAAGACTCCCAGCTATGGCTGATCTGCTTCTCAAAACTCAGTGTTGGCCTGATATCAAAGGCAGACAACAGTGATACAAGAAAAAGAAGTTACCGATTAATATCCCTCATGAACATAGATGCAAAAATCCTCAAAATGTTAGCAAACTGAATCCAGCAACACATAAAAATGATTAAACGAAGGAGTGTTTGTCCCATGACTATAAGGTAGATTTAACATCTGAAAATGTGCTCGTGTAACTCAACAGTGTTTGGTACTATAAGGACCAAACCAACGTGGTCATCCCAATAGAGGCAAAAGGAAAAGGCCATTGCAGCTTTGCACATCTAAGCGCCTCCTACCCACTCAGGATTAAAAACTCAAGAAACTGTGACTAGAAGGGGACTTCCTCCACCTGGTACGGGACATCTGTGAGAAACCTACAGCCCACCTCGCCAAATGGTGGACGCCTAAATGCTCTCCGCCTAAGGCAAAGATACTTGCTTTTGCAGTTTGTATTCAATATGTGCTGGGGTTTCTATAGGTGATAGTACAGGCAGGCAGGCAGGAAGGGGAAAAACATCTGGCTTGGAAAAGAAAGGTGAAAGAAATAAAACTTCATAGATGACATGACAGAATAGTAGATCTAATAAACAATTTTAGTAGGTTGCAACAAGGATCAATATAAAGAAACCAATTCTATTTCTATATACAATTAAAGAATGTAATTAATTAAAAATTTTATTTATAGTAGCATCAAAAAGCAAATGTAGGGCCGGCCGAGTGGCGCGATGGTTAAGAACTCGCTTGGGATGCCAGAGGGCCCCGGTTCGGATCCCACATATGAGGGCCAGTGACACTGCCCTCCACAGCTAAGATGCTGAACGACAGCTCAACCTGGAGCTGGGCTGCCATGAGTCGCCGGCGACGGCGTAGGCTGCACTCCCTGTGGCAGTGGGTTGCCATGGGCTACCGTATGTAGCCAGCAGCCAGCGTGAGCGGCCAGCAGCCGCAGTGAGCGGCCGTCCAGAAGCCAGCGACTGATCTGCCTCGCCAGAGAAGAGCGCAATGATGGTGCCAACTTGGGCCAGTGAAGCAACATCCTCCACAACTAGATTGAAGAACAAAACAACAGCAACTTGTCTGTTCCCCTTCCCCCAATTCCCCAGCGCTGTTCCCATCCCCCCAATTCCCCAATAAAAATCTTTAAAAAAAAAAGCAAATGTAGCTAAGTGCAAAACTTGTAAACTGCCAAACGTCACTGAGAGAGATTACAGAAGACCTAAATAATAGAGAGACAGCCCATGTTCATGGATTGGAAGACTTAGTATTATTAAGATGTAATTGTCTCTAAATTAATCTACAAATATAATACAATCCCTATCATAATCCCAGCAGGCTTTTTTGGCGAAATCAACAGGTTGATATTAAAATGTATATGGAAAATGTAAAGGACCTAAAATAGCCAAAACAGTTTTGTAGAACAGAGTTAAAGGAGGTTGACTTGGATTTAGAACTTACTGTAAAGCTACGGTGAGCAAGACACTGTGGCATTGGCACAGGGTGTTGTATTGGTCAGTGGACTATAACTGGGAGTTCAGGAACAAATCCTTTATCACGGTCACTGAATTTTTAACAGTTCAGTGGTGCCTGGGACAAGATCCACGTGGAAAAGATGAGTGTAGACTTTACCTCACACCATATGCAAAAATGAACACCCAGGATCACAGGCTATAGGTAAAAGCTGAAGCCATAAAACTTCTAAAATAACATATGGGAGAAAGTCTTGATGACTTTTGGATTAGGCAGAGTTTTTGGTTGTGTACCAAAAGCGTGAGCCAGAAAAAAGATATTGATGGAAAACTGGACTTTGTCAAAATTAAAGCCTTTGTACGTCAAAAGGTACCATTAAGAAAATGAAAAGACAGGGCCGGCCAAGTGGCTCAGTTGGTTAAGAGCTCGCTCAAGAGTGTGAGCTCTGAGCAACAGGGTCGCCGGTTCAATTCCTGGCCCGAGCTGAGCTGCCAACAGGTGGTAGGATGGCTCAGCTAAAAAAATAAATAAATAAAATAAAATAAAATAAAAAAGAAAATGAAAAGACAAGTCACAGATTGGGAAAAAATATCTTAAAGTGATATATCTGATAATGGACTGTGTCCAAAATGTATAAAAGACTCTTGAAACTCTAATAAACAAACAACTGAATTTAAAAACGTGAGCAAAAAAATGTTTCACTTAAGAAGATACATATAAATGGTCAGTAAGCAAATAAGCACATGATATTTAACACCATTAATCCTAGGGAAATGGAAATTAAATCCTAATGCAAACTACACACCCACTAGAATGACTGTAATAAAAAAGATAGACAATACCAAGAGCTAGTGAATATGCAGAGAAATTGGAACCCTCTGGCTGGTGGGAATGTAAAATGGTAGAGCCTCGGGGAAAGTTTACAGTTATTAAGAAGTTAACTGTAGAATAACTGAATTTTCGTAAGAGAAGGGTTGTACCCATACTTCACACCACATACAAAAAATTAACTCGGAGTGGATCAACAACCATAATATAAGAGCGAAAGCCATAAAACCCTTAGGAGAACTAAAGCTCCATGGCCTTGGATTTGGCAATGGGTTCTTAGATGTGGCATCAAAAGCACAACTAATGAAAGAAAAAATAAACCGTGCTTCATCAGCATTGGTGCATCAAGACATTGTGAGGGAAGTGAAAAGAGCCTGTAGTATGGGAGGCAGCACTGGGAATCCTGACTGATAGGGTCTGGTACCCAGAATACACAAAGAGCTCTTCAAACAACAACAAAAAGACAACCCTGCTCCAACATGGGCAAGGGCTTCAATAGACATTACTCCAAGAAGACGTGCAAATAGCCAGTGAGCTCAACATCACTAATCACTAGGGAAATGCAGACCCAAACCACAGCGGAACGCACATGACATCCTTTAGGGGCTGTCACTCATACGCACGCACACATATACACGCACGCGCGCAGAAAACAAAACGTGTTGCTGCGGACATGGAGAAATTGGAGCCTTCGTGCATTGCTAGTGGGGTGTAAAATAGGCACTGTGGAAAATAGTTGGGTAGCTCCCCAAAATGCTAAGCATGGAATTGCCGTGTGACCAGCAGTTGTACTCCTGGGCACACAGCCAAAGGGGAGGGGTTGGAAGCAGGGACTGGAACAGACGCTTGCACACCCATGTTTATGCAGCCAAGAGGTAGAAGTGACCCAACGTCCGTCTATAGTGAACGGATAAACGAAATGTGGCCTGTACATACAGGGGATATTAAGTGTTGAAAAGAAGTTCAAGTACATGTTACAACATGCATGAATATTGAAAACATTATGCTAAGAGAAATAAGCCAGGCACACACACAAGGACATACATCGTATGATCCCATTTACATGAAATACCTGGACAGACAGAGCCCTAGACGCTGAGAGCAGACGAGCAGGGCGGGGCAGTGAGTGGGACTTAAAGCTTCTGTTGGGGTGACAGAGTTGGTTGGAAAAAGCAATGCTTAAATTGTGAATTTTATGTTATTTAAAAACATGAAACCGACCTAGACTCTCCTGTGTTCAACGCTATTCCCCCAGCTTTCTTCCAAGGTAACTGAAAAGGCTTTGGAGATGGGCTGTGGGGAAGTCACGCAGCTCACGAGTGTGGCTTCGTTTAGGTGGGTGTCTGCAGAAGCACATTCCAGAAACAGACCCGGGCGTGGCTGTCTGTGGGTGGACAGAAGTGGACTGGTGACAGCTGCAGACACTCTAAATTCACTCAAACCATTTATATGGGTGCATATTAAATGTCTAAAAACGTGTGCGTATCCCCCCTTTCTGTAGTTAATTCATATTGCTCTAAACTTGAACTCTAATGTTTGTGTAAAGGCAAATAATACCTAAGGTCACATTGTCCCCACCTTCAAGTCATAAGTTTAAGAAAATGAAATCAATCCTGTCTCGCCTCTGCCAAGAAATTGTCTCGGGGTGTTTGCATTCCCCTATCTGCACTGAAAGCTTCTACCTTTAATGATCTTAGCTATTCCAGTAAATAGGTTTAAAATATTATCATATTCATTTTGGTGCCAATTAATGCACTTAAGATATTTTATTGATGTTATTTCTGTAGTATATTAACAATGAGGGAACAATATATAGCGATTATTTCAGTTTTAGGAAGCACTTAACTAGATGAAAAGCTGTACGTAGCAGACATTACACTTGAGAACAGTGGTCTAATCGTGTGCTGTGTTGGTTGTCAGCCATGGTCTGTACCTCACGTCAGAAGGACAGACAGGCGATGAAGCAAACTAGACACTGAGATCACACTGACAAAGTAACCAGCTGTCTGAGAGAACAGTCCCACGTCTCCCACGTTTACATGTGTGACCCTCATGGATGTCCTGTTCCTTAGGGTCTGCTGCTCAACAGGGGTTGACTTTAACTCCCCGCAGAGCTCTTAAAACTCAGACCCCTTTGCAGCGTCGTTTCCTGCCCGGTCGCCTTGTAACCGCAGGGCGTCCCCCATTCCGGCTGTGGGTGCTCAGGTGCCTCTGTACTTGGCCTTCACCCCAGGAGCTGCACAAGGGGTGCTCTGTAGACGTGGACCCCGCCCAACGCCGTGAGGGGCCTGATAGGAACAAGCCGCCCGCTGTCTGAGCCTTGACACGTCCCACTTCAGGGAGCTTGTTTTCACTAAAGCATGCTCGTTGTGTCACAGGAGGCTATTCCGCCGACCATCCTGTTATCAAAGTCTTCTGGCGCGTCGTGGAAGGGTTCACGGATGAAGAGAAGCGGAAGCTGCTCAAGTTTGTCACCAGCTGCTCCCGGCCCCCGCTCCTGGGGTTTAAGGTACACGACTTCGGGCCATGTCCTTGAAAACCCACCTGTAGGAAGAAAGGCAGCAGGCTGCCAGGTGGGGTCACGTGAAGTACGTGGCACCGCTGTTTCCGGGGGGTCAGGTTACAGTGGGGTGCTTTGGAACCCGGTGGTGATTTTAACTCTATGTTTAGCCACGGTAAGCAAGTATTTCGCTGGGTCAGGGAGGTGACGCTTCCAATGTGTGTGCCCTGACACGGTGCTGCTTCCATCTCTCACGTGTGCGGGAGTGGCCTGAAAGCGGGTCTGCGGTCTGTCCTGCTGACTCCCTCAGTCCCCAGTGTCCCCTTCTGTCACCATCTTAGACCATTATACTGCCGAGCTGAGCAGAAAGCAGGTTCGGAATGTGACAGAGTGTGTGTGGGGAGAGGTGAGCTGCTGGTGGCCCGCTGTCATTCATTTTATCGCCTCGCCTTCCTGTTCAGCAATGTTGATCTTATATCATTTCACGTAATATTTTTAGCGATTAAAATTGGTTGAAGGATAGTGTTCCCCTTACTCGTTGTAAATTAAAATAAAGCAGCTTTAATAGTTTAAAGATACACACAGTGGTGTTTGTGATACAGAATAACGACAAGTTAGATGAGCTTGTTACTCCAACAACCTTTGAACAACGAGTTTATACATGAGGTATTGTTTTCTTTAACTTTTTACCTTGAAATTATTTTAAATGTATAGAAAAGTTGCAAGAATTTAACAAAGAACGTCTTAACCCACAATTGTCAATTGTTAAGATTTTGCCACATTTGTGTTCTTATTCTCTGCTTCTGTTCCAAATCATGTGAGAGTAAGTTGAAGACCTCATGTTCCTTGTACCTGTTGCCTAAAACACAGACATTCTTACGTAACCAATTAAAGGATCCAAACGGGGGGATGTGGTGAGACGAGTATTGTCTCACTGAGCGGCTCGCACAGTGTGGTCCTGGCACTGCAGCCTCACGTCATCTGAGACCTGGTTAGAAATGAGCATCTTCGGGCCTACCCCTGCCCACTGACTCAGACCCCGGGAGTAGGCTCAGCACCCCTGTGACCCCGTTCCAGGGTATGGGGTGCGCAGAGGTCACACCTGCTGTCCCACAGTATCCCTCACAGGATGTGCATCCCCATTCTGGGGTCCACGCCAAGGCCACACGTCACAGTTAGCTGTCATGTCTCTTCAGTTCCTGTTGGCCTGTGTCTTGTACGTTTTCAGTGGGTACAGGCAAGTGATCCTGAGAATGTCCCTCATTGTCACGGAGCGATCCCACTACCCCGAATGTAGCCAGGACAGATGACGACATACGCTCGCACCACACCCCTGCGACCGTTCCGAGCAGTATAGTCTGTGGCGGCCCAAACCTGGGAACAGCCCAGATGTCCATCAAGCGATAGAGGCTAAACACAGTGCTGTGCCCGCCCAGTGGGCAGGTGCAGAGATCAGAAGGCTCCGAGTCCTCTGGTCCCACTGCGTGCGTGGACACTGCAAGCACGCGTTGTGCTGAGAGCAAGGCGTGAGATAAAGACTGCACACGTTCTGATTCTGTGCACATGAAATGCCTTCAAAATGCACGTTAGCAGATGAGCCAGCCAGTGGTGCTGAGGGCTGGGACGGGAGCGGGGCCTTTGGGGGCAAGGTGACACCCCGACTCTGGATTGTGGGAGTGGTTGGTGGCACAACGCCCTAACTTGACGAAATTCATTGAATTGTGCTTTTAAATGGACATATCTCACCGTATGTAAATTATACCTCAGTTAAGCTGTTTTTAAAAACTGACATCCGCAGCTTCATACCACATCCCAGGAAGTGCTGTCAGAACCAGGGCCGTCACGTGATGTAGGGCAGGAGCTGTCGTCGTTTTCCTCGGCAGGCCGACCCTCGACCATCGTGTGTCAGAAGCAGTGAGGAATAGAGACATGAGCGTGGCCTATTAGCAAACAGTGTTACTCAGTGATATTAGCAGAACTAAACTCACTTCTCTAACGTCCACATCAGAGGGAGAAAAGAAGCCTGCAGCACAAGACAAACAGAACCAACCATGGTAACCAGAAACAAACAGGTTAACGTTAAGAATCGCAGGATAGAAACCATGAGCATGGGAGAAGCTGAACTGGCACAGAATTTTAGAGAAGTACTGGAACTGGGTACAAACTGCGCAGGCGACACACCTGAGCAAAGTGACTCGGAGGCTCGGCGATGCTTCTGTCTTGGTGTGTGACCCGTCTCCCCACCCCACCCCTCTGCACCCCCACCACCAGGCGCACGTGGGCCCACCGCACAGCCATGTGCACTGGTCACAGACCAGCCTAGAGGCAGCAGGCCTTTGCTCTGGGTTCCTTGGGTGAAGTCCAGGATCGCTGCTGTGCTGGCATCTGGAGCTCAGGAAGTATGCAGGTGGAATGTGCAAATGGCACGAATAAAGAGAGGAATTAAAGGGTGTTCAGCGGCACAATTTTTATCATTTAGTGACATGAACAGTCATAACATTAAAATTAAGATTTTAATACCATTAGGTAATTTTATCAGTAACGTTTATTATGAGCGACAAGGCTTCTAGCATCTTCCAGTTTCAAAACAACACCAAACTTAAAAGTAAGAACATTAATCATCTCGTTTGTAGAGAAGTTTGGAGGACCTGCTCCCATCAACCCTGAGTGGAAGGCCCAGAGGCTGCTGCCAGCTCCTGGTGAATTAGTTCAAGCCAGTGATGTTCACTGCAGCAGAAATTAGGGGTCTTGCTGGGAAGGGTCGGCTCTAGACCTCCCAGCAGCCAGATGAGGAGCGGGCGGAAAAGGCCGGTGGGTCTAGACGTGCCGAGGACGGCCTCCCCTGAGCAGTCCCACGGGAGTGTCCTGGCCTGGGAGGAAGGGAGATGTGAGGGGTTGCCATTAGCTTTTAAAATCCCAAGTAGAGTCACAGTGGAAATCCTCTCGTCCCTGTTGATGGCCTTGTACAGTCAGCATTGAGTTATCATCGTACCATGAAGAATACTTTTTTGGAAGCTATGAGACAGTCTTCCTATTTTAGATTTTTTTCAATGACCTAAAATATATTAAATGTGAAATCTAATTAAGAGTTTTCAAATGTTTTTGCAATTGCCATCAGTCAGACTCCAGATTTGGAAAAACCACCTTAATATTTATGCTTTCCAGTTAGTTGAGCGTGCGTGCTGACAGGGCTGGCCGACTTCAGATTTAGAAGAGGAGCCTGTCCCACAAGTAGCAGGCGGCATGCATAATTTAAAAGTTATGGAACTCCTTAGTGCCAGATTATTGGAGAAGAATAACAGCTGCTAAAGCTAATTAAAGTTTAATATGTTTAATGAATGTGATTGTTACAGACAAAAAAATCATTAAAGTGCTGTAGAAAATTGTTAAGTTGCCATCAGGCCACATAATAAATTGATGATTTTTCTCACTCTGAATTAATGCAAATTCCCGTTGTACTCTATTTAATTATGCATGAAATGGTGCCCTTGACTCAGATTTCAATAAAGAACTTCTTTTTTTTTTTTTTTTTACTTTTAAGACTCCAAGGAGGAAATTCAATTAGCATTATGAAAGAAACGCTAAAATGTGACATTTAACTGCAAAATATATTTCAGGCTTTTCATTTACCCAGTCACTTGACCATTTACCCAGCGCTCACTGGCCCTACCTTGAGAGCCTTTTCTATTTTAAAAATGGGATGGTTTTATTTTACTTTATTCAAGCATTTGAGAAAATTATTGTCTTCAGTATACTCAGAATGCTAAATAATAAATGTTCTTTCCGTTTCTTTTTTGGTTCCTGTTCTAAATCTTCATGAGATTTAAAGTAGCATATAAACTATAAATAGAAAAAAAGGCAGTAGTTTTATAGTCTGTATTACAGTCCACCTGTCGTTTAAATGGGGTTTATATTTAACAGTAGGAAGACGTACAAAGATTGTTAATAAGAAGCATAAAAGTCTCTATATTCAGCATTTTGTGGGCTGTGCCCACCAATGAAAGAAAATGCAACTGCAGTGCAGTCCCGGGCAGGAGTACCTGTCACTCTTGGTGAGGTGGCTCAGACGCTTCCAGACGCCCCTGTAAGAACAGTAGCATGGCTCTGATTTTGGTCTCTAGTTCCCACTACAGTGGTGAGCAGGTAGCTGTTTCCTAAGCTGTTTAAGTCCTTTCCCTGTAACAGAATTATTGTTTTCGCTATAGAAAATCGGAGTTGTGGTTGAGTGTAAGGAAGACTTAAGAGTAGCTGTAACGTCTGCTTTCGGACCAGCGTCGCATTTGCGTGTGTCTCGTGTCTCTGAGCATGTGTGTCTGTGCACGGGCGTTTGTGCAGAGGACAGGGTGTAGGTGTAAGGAAGCCACCCTGCTCATGCCAGTCCGCACACCCACTCTTGCAGGAGCTGTACCCCGCCTTCTGCATCCACCATGGCGGCTCGGACCTGGAGCGGCTCCCCACGGCCAGCACGTGCATGAACCTGCTGAAGCTCCCCGAGTTCCCCGACGAGACGCTGCTGCGCAGCAAGTTGCTGTACGCCATCGAGTGCGCCGCCGGCTTCGAGCTCAGCTGAGCCAAGAGGCTCCGCCCGCCGCCCTCGTAAGTAGCACCTCTGGCCGCCCCTCCGAGCGCGCTCAGGCTGCACTCCCAAGCTCTCCCAGGTCCCCCGTCCGTCACCCCCTCCTTCATCTTTCACATGATTTCTTACGGCGTGCTCGCTTATGTAGATGGACATCGCTTTTCAGATCATTTAAAGTGACAAATGTCATGTGCCATGTGGCTGAGTTAGTAATTTTGCCAAGAAGAGCACAGTTTGAAGACTGGTGGCAGCTCGGTGAAATTAACCAAAGATGCAGCTCTGGCTTTGCCGATGGGTTCCAGGCTCGGTGGCGGCTGCGGGCTCAGCCTGGCTCTCGGCCTGCAGAGTTGGGTCTGAGAGCTGCAGACGCTGACTCTCAGGGCCCCGGTTTCGCGTGCAGTTGAATTGTTTACAAGCCTAATTATCAAAACTGAAGGCGTTTTCTTCCTGCTGCCTTTTTCCAAAGTGGTTAGGTTTGGAGAATAGCTAGAACGACCGTATTTTATTTGTGCTTTTTAAGCCATTTCCCCACAATGGGACTAGCATGCTTGTTTTCGGCAAACCATCGACCTGCATCATGATGGTTTGGGTATTACTGTGTGTGGGTGTGTGTGAGGTGGGCACTTCATTCTTGTTCCATTTCTGTCTCCACTTTGTGCCTGGAGAGCATTTGGGGAGGGTCTCTGTCCAGTTCCTGCGGCATGTGTGACCTACAATAAGCGATGACTTGGGGAGAAGAGACACTGAGCATCAATTCCAGTCACTTGAACCAAAGTGGTGGGCTGCACCTTCTTCGCCTGCAGCCCGCTGTGGCTGAGCCGGGAGGCCCGCCGGCCCCTGGACACCGGGGTGACTCGCCACGCGTCTGCACCCTCTGCTTCCTCAATGGTGCTGCTTTGAAGGAAGACGGGACAGTCCCCAGACTCACGTCCAGGGGAGGCGTGTTGGAATTCTCTCATAATAGGCACTTTATCAGGACCTGACTCGTTGCTGGGTGACTTCAGTCTCCGAACACGGAGTGCTTCAGCGCGTTGGCTGTGAGAGCAGAGTGGCCTCGGCTGGTGCCGGGGCGCGGGGGGCCTCGACTCTGACTCCTGTCTCCACGGCTCGAGTCTCACTCACTGGAGCTCTGTGGGCTGTCCTGTTGAATTGACCAGAATTAGCAATATACTTTTAAGTGTGGGGAAACTGAATGACACTTTTAAGACAATGACCATTATCCAAACAAAATGTATAATTTCTTAATTTGAATAATAAATTAAGTGTTTAAATGCTATTTGTAGTCTTGATATACAGAAATAAAATAACTAGGGTTTGTCCTTGGTTTTATTTTTATTTGAGGTTGTTTTATGTTGAATGTTCCATATCTTCTTATTAGTTAATTTGTATATTTTATTATCAGTATTTTGGAACTACCTGGGACTGAAGAGAAATGGGCAATTACACTTATTTGGGTTTTTTTCCTCAGCTATCCTGAGCTTATTTATTTGTATGTTCTAATGGCTGAATATTTGCATTAAATGTTTTTTTCCCAAGGTTGTATTGGAGTCATACCCCAAATCAGACCTTGTATGGGCCCCATCCTTCTCACTCCATAGATGGACCTAGAACCTTAGGGAGTTGAGGCCTGGGTGGCTCTGTGCGTGCCAGGCACCGAAGGGCGGGAGGCGGCTCTGGCTGAGACCACCAGGTCAGGCTTGGTGCGGGGCGGGGGGGACACCTGGGAGCAGCAGCCTTGAAGGCTGTGCTCGGTTTCAGCAAGCAGAGGTTGGGGGGGGGGAGGCTCCAGGAAATGAACCCCGAAGGAGGCATGGAGCAGGGTCCCCCAGGGAAGGCCCAGGTGTTCAGCTTGCTCGGCAGGATGGTGGGGAAACACTCGTGTGACTTGGGGGTGTCGGGGTGAGAGCTTGTTCTCAGCACGAGAGGCGGTCGTGAGCCAGTGCGGGTGTCTGACGGAGACCGTCAGATGGGACTGCACACTGTCAGTGTCAGTGTCTAAAGCTAGCATCCAAAGTGGTCTTGGGTCTAGGAGACCAACCACTTATAACTAACTGCCATGTGGTCGCTTCTTGTGGCAGTCGGTCCACTGCTGACCGGCCTGGGGGGGGAAGTCCAAGACAGCGCTGACCCTGACGGTGGCCTGGCTGAGAGTTGGGCTCAACCCACCATGAGGACTAGGATTTCTGTGAGGAGATGGCTGTGCTGGAAATGGACAGGAGACGGTTTTTGGTTGTTGAGAGAGGGACTCAGCAGGGCTGCGGGCAGCTGAGCACGTGTCCCAGGAGCCAGGAGGGGACAGTGCTCTCCGTCTCTGTCTCAGCTGAGTCGAGCTAATTACCTGTGGCCACAGGGTCAGTTCACATCCCACAAAATACTGCTGGGACCCACCTCTGGACCATGCCCATGGCAGGCGACACCCACAGCCACCCACCAGTTTCCGCTAAGAATCGAGGTGGGGGGCAGGGCGATGGTGGCCTGGCAAAGTGGCAGGTGGGCAGCCTGACAGGTCCAGATGCTGCGTGGCTGCACAAGGGGTGGGACGCAGCTGTGTGAAATGGAGTCTGTGTGAGGGGACAAGGAGCACAGCCCACCGGGATCAGAGATTAGATAGGATCTGGGGGTGCGGGTCTGAGCCACGAGGGGGCATAGGGGGACGCCGCAAACAGCTTTCTGCCCAGAGCTGGAGGGCGCAGAAGGATGGGAGACAGCCCTTCTCCTGAGCTCGATAGAACCCGCATCTGCACCCTGTCCCCGGGCCCCGGAGAGGGGACCCCCCACCCAGCCTCACAGGGAACAAGGGCTGTGGAGCCACTGCAGCAGCACTGGGACTGGGGGCTCCAATAACGTGGGCTTGGTTCCAAAGAGCTGCTGTCACCCTAGGCTCGACTGCCCAGCACGAAGCGGGAGGAGCCCCCAAAGGTGGGCACCTTGGGACAGTTTCCAAGCGCTCAGCTTCTGCAGGGCAAGTCAGGACCGCTCTGCAACATGCAGGTAGCATGGTCCACGCAGGTGCTGCTGCGGAGAGGGAAAGCCCGGGCTGGCAAGCGCTGTCCGGGGCAGCTCAGCTCGCTTCTGACCTCAGGGCCTCCCTGCCATCCTGCAGTGGCCGGAACAGGAGCCTGAACGGAGCCGGCCGGGCCTGGGCCCGACACGCGGCAGTTCCCGGTGTGGCCAGCAGAGGGCGCTGCGGCTGCACAAACGTGCGCGCACGTCTGTGTATGTACACACATCTGTTCCTCGTGTGGTTGATGAAGTGGGACTGAGCCCCTCTGTAGGGTCTGCACTAACTCCAGGTGTCAGAGCTGAATTGCAGGACACGCGCGCGGCAGGGGTGGCAGATAACTGCTTCGTGTGGGGGCCCTGCCCTGATGTGGTCACCCAGCCCTCCAGCCCAGACAAGCTGCAGATCCGGGGAGGGGCTTCGTCATTTGGCCCCAACAAACGTGGGGGGCAAGCTGGGGAGATGTGACAGAGACAGGGCTGTGGAAGGGACTCAAGTCCGAGGAAGAGCCCACCGGGGTCCAGCAGGGTCTCCCCCTGTCTCAGGCACCGAGCCCGCAGTGTCAGAATCCGCTGTCCAGCAGGGTCTCCCCCTGTCTCAGACACCGAGCCCGCAGTGTCAGAATCCGCTGTCCACTCACCGGTCTCTCCCACTAGACAGGTTCTGACTTGGCAGGGGGGTGCCCGCAGGAGACACCTGGCACCATCTGGAGACATTCTTGGTTGTCACAGCTGGGGAGGGGGAGCAGCTACTGGCATGTGGTGGGTGGAAGGCACAGGTGCTGCGAACTTCCCACAAAGTGAAGGCTCCCACCATACGGTGGTCACCCCAAGGGCCTGCAGTGCCCTGCCCAGCAGCCCTGCCCTGGGCTGAGCGTCACCCCTTGCCCTGAAAAGATGAGGGAGGGAAGGAGGGAGCCCAGCGAATGGCTTCCCCATCTCAGCTCTCCCTTGCTGCGCCCGAGACGTCCTTGTCCCAGAGGTGACCCTCTCTCACACCAGCAGCATCTAGTTTTCGCAGGTGGCCTGAGGCCAGGCCTGGTGGGATTGTAAAACACATTTAATCTGTTGAGTAATTGGAGACGCAGTTTCAATTATTTACGCCTTTAGCAAAACCATCAGCCGCATTCAGTCTGCTGTCTGTGTAGACAGATCTGTGAACAGGAGGCTCAGGCCCTGGAACAGGCCAGCTCGCTCCTGCAGACCCCTGCGGCCGGGCTCCTGGGCCACGTCACACTGGCACACCTGACGGCCCAGCTACAGGTGGGCACTTCCCCGAAGGCCTGAGGCACAGGGTGGGCACCAGCTGCAGGAGCTGGGTGCCCACTGACCCAGGGATGTCAGGCAACCAGTGACGGCACCTGTTAGCCCGTTTCCCCAAATTGTCTATCTGGAATTCTCACTTCACTGCATCCTATATTTTACCTGGAGCCCAAAGTAGAGTATGCAGCAATTACACCAGAGGCCCAGCCTACAGCCCACGGCCCATCCATGGGGCCAGCACAGGTGGACGGGTGGGCCAGGCCCATGTGACAGCCTCCGGGTCCTCCTGTGAGTCATGCCAGGGCTGAGAGCATGGAGATCAGCCTGACTAGGAGGACCTCAGGCCAGCTGGGGTGGGCAGCAGATGGCAGAAGTTACTGGGGCCAGGGTCCAGACGCTAAGACGGTCCCGCTGTCCCCACACACATGACGGGCTGTGTGACGTCCTCCCCAGTCCTGGTACAGGCTCCCTCCTGGGTGGGGGCGAGCTGCCCAGAGTCACCCCTGAGAGCACAGACAGCACAGACATGGCCCTCTACAGTCCCTTGGGGACAAGGCCTGTGTCCTTGGAGACGGGCTCCGTGGGAGCCCTGGGGCAGGCTTCTGAAGGCTGGGGGCTGCCGGGCTGCACGTGGAAATGCTCCATGAGGCACTGACTGGTACACGGCCAAGGGAATGGCAGGGTGAAGCCTGGGCACCAGGAGGCAGGAGCTTCCCACCAGCTGCTGAAGAGAGCCGTGTCCACCGCCCCCGCCCGAGCAGAAGGCAGGACAGCTTCCTGCGTGGCCGCTGAGTCAGAGCTGGGGACCGGGAGAGGCTCTGCTCAGCAAGACAGGCCTGGGCTCACCCCTCCTGAGGTCTCCACTCACAGAGCCCAGCTTTCCTCCCTGCCCAGCCCTCCACACAGAATAGCTGCGTTTCTGAAAGGATGCTTNGGCCGCTGAGTCAGAGCTGGGGACCGGGAGAGGCTCTGCTCAGCAAGACAGGCCTGGGCTCACCCCTCCTGAGGTCTCCACTCACAGAGCCCAGCCCTCCCCCACCCCCACCCCCCCACACAGAATAGCTGCGTTTCTGAAAGGATGCTTCCAGCAGGCAGGCTACTGTAGGGGAGGAGCTGCCCCACACCCAGACTGGTGTCATTCCAGCTCGAGCTCAGCCTGTGTGTCAGGAAGATGACCCAGGGCCTGGCCAGGGTGATAGCCCTGCACAGAACCTGCAGTGCCCCTCTGCTGGTGCCAGGGCCTCTCTTTGCCCTCTGGTGGCTTCCTATAGAGAGCAATGTCACATCCATTCAAGTAGGCAGGGCCAAGGTCAAAGAGGTCAGAGTTTGTCCACTGTGAGGACCCAGGTGGACCTGGGAGCCCGTGTGAGCGCAGCTATGCTGGCTCCTGTGCAGGTGCCTCAGAGGTGACAAGGTCGCTGTGGGCTTCGGGCGGGCAGGGGCAAAGGAGCACCCCGCTAACCCCCAAAACAGGTTCAGGAAGACAAGAGTGGAGGTTTGTTTATTATTCATGCCCCAGCTAAGGCTCCCTAAACAGCCAAGACCAGCCTCCCATCTGATAATGGGGCACCCGCCCCAGGAAGGTGGGGTGGCAGTGGGAAAAACCGAGCATGGAAAAGCCCCTGCAGGTTCTAGAACATTCCAGAACGTCTGTGCATGTCCTGGGATGTAGCCCTCATTCAGGAGACCGGTGAGCTGTACGGGCAGGATCGGACTGGCCCTCCAGGGGGCTGGACTGAAGGCTGGAGTTCCAGCTCCATCCACAGTGTTGGGGGGGGGGCGGAGGCAGAGCAGGAAAGCACAGCGGGGCCCAGGAGATCAGAGTGGGCCCATTTACTCAGCTGCCCTGTGCCTCAGTTTCCCCTCTGTAAAATGGCGACAAGAAGACCAACCTGCAGACAGGTGGTGCGGATTTGTGAAGACAAACCTGGAACACCTGCACACAGCAGCTGTTCCTAAGGGCGGCACTGTTAGGAAGGGACCCACAGCCTGTCGCTCACAGGGGAGGCCCTC